CTTTCTCATTGGCTCACAGCCAAGCCTTTTGTTCTTTGGCTTTATAAATGTGACAGCACCCGGATGATTGGGCGGCCAGTTAATTAACTCCGCCGCAATATACACATCTCTCTTAATCTCTCTTAAGACAATACCTCCTGGATATATAATCAAGTATTCTTCCTCAACCACCCCCCTAAATATCCTCCAATATCCTCTCACAGCTTACATTTCATTAATCCCCCACATATACCTACACAGCTTACATCTCATTAATATCCCACATATACCTACACAGCCTGCATCTCTTTAAGCCTTCACATTTACTTACACAGCATACATCTCATTAATCCCCCAAATATACCTACACAGCCCACATCTCATGAATCCCTAACATTTACCTTCACAGTTTGCATTTCATTGAATCGTTTCTAGGGTCATTACTCATTATATTGAGTGGTTATCAACTCATGTAAAACCAAGTAGTCTTAAGATATCTTGAAACAAGTAAATTGACTATCGCTACTCAAATTATCCGTTCACTTGTAGCCTGGAAACAGGCTCCCGGTTGAGCTAATGGGTTTAGTGCGAACAAGCCAAGTGCGTGACTGGTGAAAAAAACTCTTCGTGATGCGTGATTTAATAGAAAAATTCAGCGTGATGCGTGATCGGTACCCCACCTTTGCCACCCTCCGACTTCAGTGTCTCAAAATCTCATGTTAAAGATTTTTTGTGTCTCTCTTACTGGTTTACAATTCTTATAATAATACTTTTTTCCATCCAGGAATGGTCGTAAGACCTTCGGATATGTTTCGCGGTGATCAATAATGAAAAAAAATAATTTTTAACCTTTTAAAACAATGGTAATTAATGTCTAAGATTTCTGTAACAAAATTAACTGTTAGTCGTAAAAGCCACCACCCCATTGAGACCCTCTTTCTCGATTCCTATTTCTGACAAATAACAACAGCCAAAGAGTAGTATTACGAAATCGGTCCGTTTGACCTCTCAAGCTCCCATCGGGACTCGAGCCTCCACCTCGCTCGTACTACAGGGCAGGGCGTGGTGGCCCACACCATCAAAGAAAATATCTGAAGTATACGTTGATCCTTCATCTGCAGTCGGCAGAAATCGTTTTCAAAATATGGAACAATTTACTTGGTTTGTCTCATTTTTTAATTAACAATACTGCGGGGGACCCCAACGACCGTTTTCTCTCGAAGCTTTTAAACGCTGTTTTAGGCTATCTGGAGTACTTTTAAAGCTCTGTGGGTTAATTTTAGGTTGCGCTAAAAAGTTTTATCTGTTCGGTTATTCTGGGGGAACTTGAGTATTCTCGAATTTATTAGGGCTTTTTTGTCCATTTCCCGAAAACCTTAGGTCTTTTCGCCTTTCCGAAAAATAATAGTTCACCTTTTTAAGGTACCCAAAACGACATTTTTAACAGTCCGAAAACAACAGACATTAAATTTCTGATATCGCGAAAGTTCGAGGTGACAATTCTCTAAAGAAAATCAGAGGGAATTAAAGGCCTTCCGAACAGATAATTTACCGAAACGATCCGTTGGGTGCCCCCGATAGTGATGTTACAAGCCCTGACATAGAATACCTGGATCACAGAAAATTACTTAGACCTACGCTTGAATAAGCGCTTTTTTCAATAACCTTAAAACATACATACGTAAATACTTAATTCATTGCGCAGCTCCCTCTTGGGGAATCTTCCGCCATACGATAATATATATGCTGCGTGATGCTGCTGACTATGATATTACAAAATCACTTATTGTTTGAAGGAAATATCCGAAGTTTACTTTGCGGATCCTTTGGCCAAATTCGTTTCAAGTAACAACGCACAATTTACTTGGTTGGTTTCTACATCTTTTAGTTAATACAAAAAATACTGTTGTTACAAGCCTTACTGACATGCAATACTTAGATCGCAGAAATTTACTTGCAGCAACCCTTGAATAAGTTCTTTCTTTTTTCTTTTAATCAATGTAATAACCTTCACACTACAGCTAATTACGATGTTTGTGCGGTAGTAATATCAGCACTTCATCTCACAGTACAGCATGTTGCTGAATACGGCGCCCATTAGAAGACGATTTTTATAGACTAACGCAGATGTACAACCAGACAGTTCCTGTCCATCGTTCATGTACACCTCACGAACCTTGTAATCAGGGAAAGCTTCCCCGGTTGGAGATGGCTTTCCCAGTTGCACTGTAAGAACTTGAGAGGGACTGAGGTGACTGAGGTTTTGGGAATGCGCAGAGAACTCCAATACTCTCGGTAATGCTGCTACCCACAGATCCCCAGTCACAGCGTCAACATTGATGTTGTCAACAATGGATCCAACTTTAATCAACTGTGGAAAGGCAATAATAATAGGCTTAGTGACGTTATCCCGCTAAAAATATTATAAAAACACAAGCTTTCGACGGTACTTCAGTGCAACTTTAAAATTTTACGGGCAAAAAGGTTGGAATGTAATCATCATTACACCCGTCGAAGACTGCAATGTAGGGCAGTCGAAAGCTTGCCTTTTTATAACCAGTATTTTTAGCCGAGAACGTTCAGTTTAAATTTTACTATGATTCATCCTTGCTGCCTTTTCAAATAAAAGGCTTGCTGACTTTTCATTGCCAGGGCATGACCGTAATCGACTGATCGCGAAAAGTACTGAAGTTACTAGCGGTTCAAACGATCCAGCGAAACCAGCCACACCTGTGATAATAAATTTTCAACTCATATACCTCGGAGAAAAAAGAAACTTTCTCCTCGTGTGTTCAAAGAACTTCCTACCTAATACGATTTGTGGTTTGCACATGGTTAAAGTTTCGATTGTGTTCGCGCTGTAAGGATGAGGAAAGTCCCTAATTCCAGCTATGTATGGCTGCCTGCCTATTTTAGCAGCGCAATGCCATGATTGGCACAGCTTCGTGATTGACAGATCTGGGACATTAGATTTCAAACATTTAACAATTTAACAACCTGGGAGGCCTCCAACGTGTTGTCCTGAAGACGTCTAAAAATGGCGATACCATTTTCAAACAAAGCTGACGTAAAAACAAACCTGCAAGGAATCGAAACAAAACAAAAAAAAAGAAAGAAAGAAAGAAAGAAAGACAGTCAGCGTATACATGGGTTAAGAATATCTCTGCTCAATTTAGCAAGGCAGACAAAGCACTTTCCGAACATAATGGCAGAAGACAACACAGTTATAATTCATGAACATTTACCTTCAAATTATCAGTTTACCTTATTCATTATAAAAAGCAAATGAAAATGAGCCTTCTATAATAGGAAAAATCAAAAATAACTTTATTTATACACGGTATTCCCATCAGTCTATTTATGATAATCAACTAGCTAGCTACCCATCTTCCTTACTACAATCAAAGAATAAAAATTCCAAAAAAATAGCTAAAAAATCAAAAAATGAAAACTGCTTTTCGTGGAGGCCGTGTAGAATTTAATTTACTTGGCAACGTTTCGACTTAGTTCAGTCTTGAACTCGGTTAATGAAGTTACTTGTCTTAGTTCTACAGATACGTTGTTCCACAACTGAGCTCCACTGTACGAAAAGCTTCTCTTCCGATAATCAATGCGAGGTTGTGGAAGAACAAATTTGTTTTCCGTTTATTACACTATGGACTGCGGTGGCCTAATGGGTACTCTGTCAGATACCTATAGTAAGGCGGTCTGGGCTTGGGCCCCAGCGGCAGCAAACTTTACCATCGCAATGTCCCTCTCCCAAGAGTATACTGATGGGTACCAGCCAACTGTTAGGGTGACCTGGCAAATTTCTGGTGGTGTTATGCGATGGAATGCACCCCATCCATCCACAGATATAGCAATACTCCTAGCCTCAGTCTTGCTACTATACGAGAAGCAACAAAGGATACACTAGGCTCTAAAAGGGTCTTTACGTCCTTCACTCGAGGCACACAAACTCTTTTCCGTTGTTACCATCTTGACAGAAACTGATTTTTCTGTGGTTATTTCCAGAGTTTTAACAAAATGTCTTTCTCTAGATCTACAGCATATTGCAAGCAATTTGGGCTAGAATTGAGGGTCACAGTCCACGGGTTTTTGGTCAAAATTCTAACCGTCGGCTGCCAGCTTAAGAAAACCACGACGGCAACGGCAATGGCAACGTTTCTAAGCAAAAGGTTTAATGAGAAGAACAATAGCTGTGCACGTGCGTTATAATTCTTTGTACATTTCTTTGCCGACCTCTAAACAACAACAGCGTCACGGGTGAAATTACCAAATTCTGCGTCGTCTGGAGAACTTTAACCACGACGGCTAATGTTTTAAATTTTTATTTAGAATTTGTCAATGTGCCCCAGATTCAGTTTCGTAAGAGCTTTGACAGTGACAAACAAAGTAAATGACTTTACGATACCTCGAGATTCTAGGTAAAATACAAACTCATTTTTTAGTCGACGTTGACCTCGGCGTCGCCGTCCTGGTTTCTTAAACTCCCTATTAGCTGAGATTTGAGATCAGAGGAATTCACTGATAGCTGAGAAAAGGGCTCTGAATTCCAGAATTCTTTGGGTTTTACAACTCATTAAATAACAACACAAGTATTTGCAACTGGAGAATGCTAACCTTTCGTCTTTATCCATGCTGATGCCATTGGGATGAACACCTCCTATCGCTTCGATGGCTTTAAATCCGTCGAAGAACACAATGTTACAGTGCAACCACTTGTTTAGTAAAAACTTGTGGAGGACGCAGAGTAGGGTGTTGTCAAAATGAAAAAAATTGTCGTTGGTGACGTAGAAGCTATCCGGACCTGCGTGAGAAGGAGAATGAAGACAAAATAACCAGTCTAACCCATAGGGGGAGGTGGGGTGGGGAACGCTGGGTGAATGGTAGCTGGATCCCGTCAGTCATTCACTGTAAAAAGTGTCAGAACATAAAATAGTACTAACCTACTGCGTGTAAGTTGTTTGGACTCCAGATCAACGCGTCAACCACAGAACGACGATGAATCAGTGAATGCGTTTCTCGCTCGAAGTCGAATATTTCAATGGCTTGAGCGTCAGGTCGGTGATTCACCACAAACAGGGACACCGTACCCGAGGACGGATCCCGATACACACTGATCCCGTGCGGGTTAAATCCCGTGCGATTGAAGTTCTTTAGTGTTAATTCAACTGGATTTTCATTGGGTTTGTTTAAGTCAAATGTCATCAGTTTACTTTCCCATGTGTCAATCACTGGATCGTACCACGTAAGAACGTTGTAGCGAAGTCCCTGCGTGACAAAATATTGCAGTCTAATGGCTGTGGTATTGGCGATTAGATTATACATATGCCGTCTTTGGCGAGAACTCTAACGCTATAAAATGGCAAACAGCAACACTAATCTTACTGCAGCGTCACACTACTTTTGTAGGAGTGCAATAAAGGCTTCGTAGTCAGCGGTCGACATATTTGTAAACGCGTGGGAGCGAATTGAAAGTTCAAATTTTAATATTTGGCTCTAATCTTAAGCTCGCGTTTTGGTTAACGGTTTCGAGGCTCGCACGATGTAAACAATAGTTGAATGATCTGTGCTGATCATGACTCGCTACTTTCTCTATTGGATGGTTAATGGTGGGGTGGGAAATTTGACACTGGCTATATAAGCCGGCAAGGGGGATTGAACAACAGCATGGTCTTTGTACACGTTGTCGATCAAAAACAATCCCTTCGAAAGGTTTGTTACTTTCGGGGGGGGGGGGGCATTTGAACACTATTTTTGCCCAGGGGGATGGCAATTTGACAAACTGACAATTCAAAATGTCTAATGCTCGGGGCGTTGCCTGCAGGGGATGTTGAAATGTCGAATTGACTGATTCATCATAATCGGCAAGTCTAAAGGCTGGTTTTCACTAGAACATAAGCTCAAGTGAAAACAGCCGCGGCATAAACATAAGCATAAGCGGAAACATAAGAAGAACGAACCCACTGCACTTATTTGTCTTGTGCAGTTTTCACTAGTGACGCGCTCGACATAAGCATAAGCATAAGCACAAGAAAAACGGAACTGTTCGTTTTTCTTGTGCTTATGCTTATGCTTATGTCGAACGCGTTACTAGTGAAAACTGCACAAGACAAATAAGTGGGTTCGTTCTTCTTATGTTTCCGCTTATGCTTATGTTTATGTCGCGGCTGTTTTCACTTGTGCTTATGCCTATGCTTGTGTTTGTGCTTATGCTCTAGTGAAAACCAGCCTTAAATGTATAATATCACTTACAGAAGAGACAAACACTAGTCCATCAGGAAGAAGAGCGAGATCCTCTGAACCATTCACTGTAATGATAGTAACGAACAAATACTTTGTTATTATACTGTTCACAGCCTCTCTATTTATGCACGCGAAAGAAAAAGAGAGCGAAGCGAGCGCGAAGCACGCGGGTGTGGGGGATGGGATGTGCGAGCGTGATATTTAACGGTGCCCCCCCCCCCCTTACCCGGCCAAGTCGTTTTGCGCTGGCGTCCAGTTCTCTTGCGATTCTATGCGCGCGTTCAACGATCGAATAAAAATACGACAAACAGAGGGCTGTGAACAGTCTACTTTGTTATAAGAGAGTTTCACTGGACTATGCCTACATCTTCCACATTTGCCACACGAATGTGTTTTATTCTGATGGTCAACAGAGGGTCTACATGTTGTGTTTTGTCCTACTAGGGCATTCAGAATATAAAGGTCGCCTTTTTCTGAGCCACTGATTTTCTAAGAATATGGAGAATCGAAAGACTGCCACGCGAAATTGACGTTGATAAGCTTCTCACTTTAGTTAGGTTATCACTATTCTTTTATTTTATTTTTGTTTGTCTGATAATTTCGTAGGTCCACATCAGGTTTATTAAAAAAAGTTGCCTGTAATTTTAATCTGCAGTATCAAATCAGGTAGATATGTATGCTGTAAGCTCGTAGTCTTACGCAAAGAATACGAACGATACAAGTAATCTGGCGAATATAGTCAGTAACGCATAACGCAAGCCTTAATGGATAGGAGCATTGGCTAATCCTTAAACAAACAAATAAACAAATCATTGACCGTGAATGACCTTGCCTCTTACCATAAAGGGAGGGATGCTAATTTTATTATTTTTTTTATGACAGGAGCTGTCTGCGAAATGTTTTTGAGAGCATTTCATCATCTGCATAATGGACATACCGCAGAATCCCGGGGCGCATAAATGCGTGTTAGGCATGAATCGGCGCGTCCTGAATAACACCCGAAGTGCGTAACTCACGAGGCCAATCCATGCTACAAAATTCCTGCAATATTTGAGTGTTGATTGTCCTATATAGCATTACAAAAACCATCAATATTCGTCCGTGTTCTTGTCCCTGCATATCATGTACACTCAACTGTGACAAAAACCCACTCTGCTTGAAAATATTCAAAGCTAGTTTCCTTGAGGTATAACTTACCTTTTATTACTCTGCAAGGTCCGGGAGAGTGGTTTATAACGTGCTTGAAAAATCCGGCTAATATTCTGAATAATAAAGATAAACATGTGACCTATGGAAACGTTAATAAAACCCTTCGCAAGACAAATGGCAACTGAAAATGCTCTTTGGAAAGCAAAAGAACACTCGACTTACAGTGTTTTTAGGACTTGCGACGCTAGGATAGTAATGAGGAAAAACACGATAAATTCGCCAAGTCGACCCATGATGGAGCGCAGATTGATTCCAATCTAAAGTACGACAATAATATGACAGAAGAACGGCTAATGACGGGCCGCCCAAATTATTGGGAATGCGTGACCAAATTATCACAAAACCGCTGTACTGTGGACCTTTCTGCCTCTATGTTGCCAACCCCTATTAAACGGCCACCCTCGGTGAAAGGGATTGTGGCTGCTTAAAAGAGGTTGGCCGCTTAATAGAGGAAAAACCCCAGAAACGGTCCTCATCGGGACTTTGATTACTGGCCGCTAAATAGGGATGGCCGTTTAATAGGTGACCGCTAATAGGGGTTCGACTGTAGTTTGTATTTTGTTTAGACTACGTACGAGTAGTCTCTCTTTCGCTTAGTCCGTCCTGCGTGACGCGAAAGAAAACCGCGAGAAAAAATAGCCTGGCGAACTCGTGAGGCGAGAAGCACACGGAAGGAGGGACTACTGCCTAAGCCATCGAGAGATTTTTCGATCTCTTAACGCGTCTCGCCCCCAGGATTTCACGCGGCCATTTTTTCCTCGCGAGTTATTTATGATTTCGCTCGACGGACTAAGCGAAAGAGGGACTACTCGTAGTCTATATTATGTTTGGCTGTTCTTCTACCGAGGTAGTGTTTATCTCCCTGACAGGTTTATGATATGGATTCGTTGATCGGTCTTTCAGGCTGCATAAAGCTTTTATTATTACTAATAATTCCATCCACTCAAGGGTGGCCATTTTACGACATAAATTTGAAAACGGAATATGAATTAACTATTTTCGTAAGTAAATAATAATTTTAAGACTGACCGATCGAGTTTCTTTCTCATAGGCTGGAACACTTTTGAGGGTGTCTTTCAGAGGTTTGCATTCATACGTATTTAGATTGAGGGCCACTGGTTTATCAGTTTTTACTGTCATGTGCTACCCTTGATAAATAAAGTTGTTATTTACTTACTTACTATATAGGACCTACAATAGAAAGTCACGTGTCATTTTTGAGGGTGTTTGGCAACCTGAAACTTTGAGCGAAAGAACGATCTCCTTATCGCATAATTCATTTGTTGTCAACTGGCTGTTCACAAGGTTACGGAATACAAATTTAACTTCGTAGTATTTAATCTGATGTTATCATTTTGGTTTTATTTCTAACGGTATCTAATTTCCTTTCAGTTTTGATGTTTTTTAGTTTTTTCCTGAAGTTTCTATGACCCGGGGGGATTCCCAAAGAAATTGGACGGGCTGCTCGTCGGATATTTTGAAAAGATCCCCTAAGGAGTACCAAGATCCCGTTTTGTGGGTGTGGCTTGAATTTACCAAGGTACCAATTCTAGAGCAACACAGTATCTCCTCAGTAGTACGTATACATAACATTCGAAGTTTTGTTTGACACTGACTCTACTAAACCGTCAAACAACGTTTATAGTTACTTATACAAAGACGTTTCGACCGTACAACGTCCGTCTTTGAAAAAAGCCAACTGAAATTACTGGCTATCTAACGGTTCACAGTTGTACGCGTGCTACGCCGGCGAAATTTATCGAGCGAACAGGCTGCGCGACAGAACAAATCATTGAGACATTGAATACTGCACAACTATACCAAAAGTGGAAGACATCATTGCGCAGCATCTCGACAATGAAGAAAAAAAAAATATTCAAAGACCCTTCAAAGGGATGATAATTGCTACTTCAAACACACTAATATCCAATTAACGCCGACCTTAAAAATGGTTGTTGGTTTTATTTTTAGCAGGAATAAATTTTTGCTTTTTTTAATGTCAGGACCAAACAATATTGATAGGATAGGGACCTTTAAGATGTTCCTGTTGACTCGTGTGGTTACCGTGTATCGCAGTTTAGCTATCTTTTATCATTTTTATCATTTTATCAGTCAACTTTATTGTTATCGTCATTGAACGATCCACAGTCCCACGTTTTGTTACCATTCCTAGAATTCACTGGGGATCATTTCGTCGTCTGCTGGCAGCCGGTTTTTTTCTTTAAGGGTCACTAGGACGAGTGTTTAGTCATCGCAAACGCAAAAGAGCAGTATGGTGGTGGCCGAGTAGGGAAGAGGGCGGGACAAGGGCGGTATGGCCGCGCCCATGTCTCGTCCCATTCCCCTTTAGCCATAACGTCTCGCCTCATAACCCCTACTGAATTTAGAGAGAAAAACAGACTGCCAGCAGTCTAATCATTTCGGGGTCGGGATCATTTCGGGGGCTGTACAGACGCGAGGAACACTGATTGGCTGATTTTTGACAACTAGCTCAGTCTGGCATCAGCGGGGTTTCTTGGGGGCGTCATTCAGAATTCTAAGCGATGCAGGCAGGCTCTTCTTCCCCTTCTCCTTTCATATGGGAGAATCTTGACCGAGGTCAAGATTCTCCCATACAGACCGACTTAGCTCGGTAATAAGATGTTTGTTATATGGCAAAGAAGAAAACTTTAATTCGTTTAATGTAACTGGTTTGCTGACATTTTGCTTGCAAACGGAGATGAGCTTAACTT